GTAAAAAGTTTTTCTGATGGTGGCTCCTTTAACTTGGTCAGGCCATCGAGTAGGTGGACGACCCCCAGCTCTTTTGCCCTCTATGTTACCTACTACGTCTAACTTCTCTAGGTTTTCACCTCTTCTCCGCATAATATGGCCAAAGTATGTAAATACGCATTGAAGAGATATAGTGGATAGCCAAGTATTGATTGAGAGTTGAGAGAGAATAGGGGAATTTGTGCATCCTGTGGTCCATGATATTTTGAGCATACGCCTCCAACACCACACCTCAAATACACCTATTTTCTGTCTCTATCTGGCTTTTGGTAACATATAAGTATAAGTAACATCAACACACAATATTTTTTTGAGAATGTGTCTATCTGTGCCCTGACTGTAGGTAGAGTTACTTTCTCTTTTAAATGCTGTTACTGAGATTGGTTTGCTACATAATTTTTGTTTAATTCTTAAAGTGTATAGATTTTATACGGTCTTATTAATATCCCTAAGAATACGTTGGCATGTGTTATCCACTCAATAAGTCTCTTTAAAATTGTTTACTCGATTAAAATAGTAGGTAATAATTTTTCTACTTGTGCCGTTTATAGCTGTGAACTGACTTTTTAGTGTCAGTTCGTGTTTTAGTAAAGTAAAGCAAGGGCCCCGATTATGTTGTGAAAAGGTTGTGTTGCTTTTACTCGTTACTTTGCTAATTTTTTATTATGAGAATCTATAAAACATAATATGTACCTAATCATAGTTTTAAAGATGGATATTGCATCTCTTAGCTTAACATAATTCTTCTTTGTTTTTGTGATTTTCAATTATTTTTTCGATTGAAAGTGCCTTTTCTACCTTTTTTTTCTGAAATGTATGAATTACGTTGGAGTTTCTTCTATTATGTTGATATTTTATAACTTAAATGCTAATTCTTTAATGTATTCACATATTACTCATTTCTTCTCTCATTGTCAATGAAACAGAAAATTTTTAAACTTAAGTAATTTCATATCACGGTTTTTATATCCTTATTAAAATTGTGAGCAATGTATTATTTATTCGTTATTCTTTATGTACCTTTTAAATAATAAGCGCTATTGAAACAGATTTCTATCATTAAAGACGTTTGGCAATTAAATATACGGTTTTATTTTAAATATAAAGGTTTCTGCTTTAGTTATTGATTAGGTTATAGTTTGAATAAAAAATAAAATGAGTTTCCTGTTTTTTATACTTTAAATAACGATGTATCAAGAGGCTCACAGTACAATAACAAAATAATGTATAGGTGAGTATTTATTTACATACCTCAGCTTCAAAATTCTCAATTATTTTATTATAAATCATTTTCTATTACTTGTAATAAATAATTTCGGTTCATGATTTTGCAACTTATTATAAAAACATCATATTCAGGACCACTTGCAACCTTAATTAAAAAAAAATGTAAAAATACGTGTACTTTGATATTTCTTTCTATTAATTCTTGCCACGTTACAAGATATGGTATTTGTGTTTATAGCTTCAAGTTATATTTTTTAGTACAATCCGGCTACTGTATGACTACTTATTGGTAGATTAAAATGCAGACAGGAACTAATTATCGTAGAATATCTAAGCATTATTATATGTATATCTCAGTATTATCTCAACCTAATCAAGCTGGCCTTAAACATAATTGTATATCGAATAATTAAAGTTGCTTGCTACCTTTCTTTTGAATATAATTCTGTTATTTTCAATAATTTATTTTGCATATATATCAATAAATAGATAATTATGACAACATAAAAGGGACAATTAGCGACAGTCTGCTCACAGCTGTACATTAAAAAAGAATTCTTTAGATCGGTTAAATGACGACCAGTAATCAGCCTACCAGAGCCCACTGCTGAGCAAAGGCCTCTTTTTTCTTATGGAGAAGGTTTGAGCATTAATCGCCACGCTTTGCTCAAGACGGGTTGGTGATTTCAAACTTATTATTGTGAAATTATCAGTCCAGGTTTCTTCACGATGTTTTCTTTCACCGTCTGTCAGTGGTGTCTAAATACTCTTAGAAAGTACATATGACTCCGAAAAATCACATTGTACTTGCCAGGATCGAACCCGCGCCCTCGGCAACGAGAGGCGGCCTTTTTAACCACTAGGACACCACTGACTTAATATATTAATAAATTTATTTCTGTATCATCGATTTCCATATTAAAATATATTTTTTTAATTTCGACTGATATACTAATAACCCTCAACGTGTACGGAAAATCTGTATTATGAATTGTATTGAATGTAAAGTAATCCAGAACATATTTTTATTATTATTGTTATCAGTTTTTGTTAACAGCACTAAAATCTGCAATCAGCCATTTCATTAAAAAAATTCAAACAAAGAAAATATATGTACATACATATTTTTTTAATAATAAAGTTTTGTCAACTCTACAAATATCAAGAATATTTTTCGGAGTAAAATTAATTAATAACAATCAGTTTTTTGTGATAATGTTTCATAACTTCTAGATATTTTATTTTATTTTGTTTATTTGTATTTTTATATACACTTTTTACAATTAATTATAAGAGGTGTTATTCAAAGTTACTAAAATAATAGAGTATATAATGAAATTGTTGTATTATTTGTAAATATTTCATAAATTTTATTTTACATTTTGAAATAATTGTTTATACATTTAAGATAGTGATTATATATATAGTATTAAATTATATGGTAAAGAGTGAGCAGCACGACTTTTTTAAAATATCAATCACTTTACAGATGTATATAAGCAAATATATATGTTATATAAAGATTTGAATTAATATGCGAAACGACTTATCTTAACATAATAATTAGTTTATATAGTGATGTCAAAAGTATTTATATTTTTTTAGACTGGTGCAGGAAATTAAATGGAGATCGATAGGAGCCAATACCATAGCTGCTTTAGGAGTATGGTGCGTCAGTGTGAGTTATACTGTCAATGTCAGGAATATAACGTTTCGCTGTTTGGAACGATGAGCTTTGGAATCCTGTTTTGATAGGGTAATAAAAACCCAAAAACACATTTACAAAGTATGTGGAGTTTAGGTGAATGATCTAGATAATTTAACATGAAAAAAATACTGGAATATGATGTTATTCAATACACGTTTACGGATCATAGCAAATATGTATTTGAATAATTTTATTTAATTACTATTAACACCACCATCATCTCCACCACTATTATCTTCATTATAAAAATAATAATTGTTATGTTTTTGTAGCAAAAAAATCACTCATGTTTTGCCTCATTGACATCATAGGCATCAAAAACTGGGGACTCATAAAGTTACTACAAAACGGTGGTAATATTGTTAAAGCTGCAGCTAAATTTCTACTGGGTCGTAATGTCAGGTCTGCAGGTCATTCCTCAGCATGTAAGTTCTCTGGAAGGTTATTGTTTAATGCAAAATGACCAGCAGAAGAGAATTGAAAAAGCGATCCCACATCTGATGTCAGATTCAAGGTGTTTAAGGTCTAATATCCACACAATATATTACTAGTGCTCACTGCTGCCATTTGTCATCTGCGTTATCACTAGACACGTTTGTTTATTCTATCGTTTTAAAATTTTAGTCCTCATCATACGATTACGTTGTTTCGTAAGCGAAGCCTCTGATTAAGTTTTTAAAAGAACTACAACCAATGACTTGCTGAGAGCTATCAATACTAAAGTTGGGATTCTCCATTATCATAAAGAAATTATTAAATGAAATTAGAAAAGAAAGATTAATAAAAAAATTATTTCTGTAATTTTAAGTTATTTATAAAAAAAACAACTTTGCTTTATTTATTAATGAAAACAACTGGAATGTGGTATCTAAATTGTTTCAGAAAATATTAGACACAAACTCACCGACTGTCTGCTGGAGCTCGTGTGTACCGGATTATACTCTTGCCCATATAAAAAATATGTCCTAACCCCTCCCTTCTCAGACACAAAGGTAGGTCAATAAATAATAGATAACCCACATTTTAGATTTCAGCAATGAAATATTTTATAGTTAGGAATAATCCTAATGTTCTTAACTTAACGGTTATAATATCTATTGATCTAACGTCTTTTAGTGAAATATCATACAAGAAAAAAGTTGGTCTTACTTCGATATAGGTTCATTAATAATTAATTATTAAGATTAATTACAACATGTATCCTTGCACTTCATCCTTTTGTAAAAATAACTAATAAGACACAAAAAACATATTTTTAAGTGCCCATTTTTTACTTATATTATATTTTGGTATTATAAATTCTTTATAATATACATATATAAATGTACTGTACGTCTGGGTGACACTGAACTTTTTCTAAGCGCCTGAACAGATGAATTATTTTTTGTTAACGTTTGGGTCGCGCCCCAAATGGTTTAGCAGTCGGTGACTAGGTTATTTAAACAGAAAATGCTCCTATATATATATATATATATATATATATATATATAAGATATATTTAAACTCTTTACACATTTCGTCTTACACTCTTTACACATTCCGTCCGCATGAACCTCAGATATGAACGTGGACAGAAACTAGGTATATAAATATAAAAAATACCTTACAAACAATTCATAACATTAATCAAAGACCATTTAGGAAGGAAAGAGTTATAGTTTAAATAATAGTGAATATAGTGGATCAGTTCTTTTTTCATATATGTAAGTAGGTCAAAATAGAAAAGTAAAAAGTATAAATATTCTTTATGAAGAGCATTAAGTGGTTAAATTTCTTATGTCCTTCGTTTTACAAAGTTTAAATTAAATATGTTGCGTACTTCAGCTTATTTTAATTTTTAAGTTACACCTCTGCTGATATTTGATGATCTTTGATGTCATGTAATGAAATAAAACTAAATTATTCTTTCAAAATTTTTAATGAAGTATTAAAGTAATACACAAAAACTGCTATCCAAATTATAACGCCAAGTTCAAACTTTTTGCTTAAGAAACATGAAAATTAGAAACGAGTTCCTAGAACAAATTTAGTATATGAATAAATTCAATAATGGTTGCGATAATAAATGGGATCTAACAATCTCAAATACGTTGCCCAAAATTTTGTCCATAAAACTTCTTCCAAATGGAATTGCAATCAGTTTATAGTTCTTAGGGCTGTTCAGAATATTTTCTCCTCCTGAAAACAGTCTTACTTTTAACCTACCCATCACATAATGAGAATAAATAATTACTTTTAACTAACAAAAGATTTATCTCACCTAAGCCTAGGTAAATCTTTTAAATAACCATGAATAACAAATTTTTATGACAGAACTTAAATACTTACTGTAAGCGTGGCGATATAAATCACTGATGTAGCTTTGGATGTCGTTTTTGATTTGATAATCATATTTGAAGGCTTTAATGTTAATAAATTTATTATCAACACCATTTCGAATGATTTCAAAAGGCATCATCAAAGTGACGTGAATGTTTTCTAAAATTTGACAGCATATTAAAAATTAAAACAAGTGTCCGATAACATCAAATTGAAGTCACTTATTTAAAAAAAAATATTCACATATTGTTCTTTTGTAGTAAAAGATTTTAATCTTTATTAAAACGTAATTTTGAAAACTTCAAACCAAAAGTATTTAAATCAGGTGCAGCTATTATTGTACTTTTGTAACTTGATTTTCTAAAAACTAGTAATTATATCGATAATTCCTACTTACTTATTAGCATCGATACATCCGCTCCTGGGTCCATAGGACTGGACTTATAAAGGCCTCTCAATGACAAATCCATATGATATTGAAGTATAATCTCCATTTTATTGTAATCGAAACTATTTAGTAACAACACATACATATTGTAATTGTCTTCTACTAAATAAAGCTATGGCTTTCAGATATTCTATTCTCATTTATTATTTATTAGTATAGCAAATGAAGCGTGACCACGGAATTATAAATTGCGTGGTCCATCCGCATTCATATTTTTATTAATCAAAGATTTTTATAATATAAGAAACTAAGCTTTTCGGATAATAAGCGTTTTTTTATTATTTCATAACTACAATACATAATTCCGTTGCTTAATTTTGACTTTAGTCCTTAAAATTGCACATTTATCTTTTCACCCGTGGTCACGGTTGCTGTAAAAAAAACCGAAACGTCGGTGTTATGTAGTTACAAAACAATCAAAAAACGCGTAGTATCAGAAAAAATTCTTTCGCGTAAATGTGAGTATATTTTTTCCTTCTAATGAAACATAAATTTAATTTCTAAAATAAATTGAAAAAAAAACTCGAAGCGTTACTTACTCTGTACTATCAAGAATAGCGTCCTTATTACCAGTCACTGTTAAATTAGTTATGTCACCTTTAAATCCTTGCTCATCAACTCTTAGAAAATCTATATGCATGGGGTCAACTGCCTCAGATAACAGAGCCATATGATTCTGTATTAAATTCTTTGCACAGTCCATGTCCAATAAAAAGCAACGTAGTGGTATATTAACTATTCAGAAATAAAAAGATGTAATATTAGACATAAAAATAGTACAATAAATCACTAAATAATGTCATGTCGAAAAACTAATTTTCATATGTTCTTCTCACACAATAAAACTAGTAAGTTCCCATAATCTTCTTACAGGGAAGTTACTTCTTTATAGTAGAAAAAACTTACACATTGCCGACATGCATGAAAGCTGTAAAAATATAAAAACGGCAGAATATACTACGGCACGCATGTTTGTACTTTGTTTTGAGCAGATGGATAACAAAATGTGTAAAATTTTCACTTCGTATTCTTTTATATGGAAGAGGGATTCGAGTTTACTTATTGGGACATTCACTTTTTGAGTCATATTTTTTCTTATATTTTTAAATTTATGCAGTAGTTTTTTCAACCTTGTTTAATATTCTTTTTATTATTTTGAAAATAAAAAAATAAAGATTCTCCATTTGTTCTTTTATTCTTTTTTAATCCTCTAAATAATTAAACATAACTAGTTAATCCTTCTGGAGCCAGTGTTTTATTTAATATTAAGACTCCGGATATTCTGGATTCTTATTCCGGATTCTCGTTAGACGGTCAATGCGTTTCAACGGTTACGGAAAGTTCACCTTTTAAATTTATCGGTCATAAGATTTATAATATAGTTCGTAGTCCAATCGTCGAAGAATTAGTAGATAGATATGTAGTTTTTGAAACGATCTCTACAAGATAGATAACCGCTCGATCAGTGACTGAATAATATGTTGGATCTATGACAATTACCTAACATCACGTTTAAATTGGCCTTTCTTCGTCTATGATTTAAATAAAACCCCTACGTGAAAATTAGATTTAGGCGTCATAAAGATGTTGAAGTTGTGACTTGGGCTTGCGCTAACGGCTGATTCATCAGCTATATTCAGGGATCGCAATAGTTTTGGGATGAGTCCAAAAAGGCCCTCGGAGCTCTAAGGCTAAGGATCCGGATATATTTAAGATTTTATACGATTAGATTAAGATTACAAGAATTCTAAATATGAGATCCATGCAATGAGCTTAGAAATGCAGAACGAATAAAAACACATAGGAGATTTTTGCATCCCATCAGCATAAAATGCACCTTATTTCATGATTCATGGCCAGCACGGCTAAAATTTTACTTCAATGCCTTCCAGATGACTCCGATCAGAATAATTTAGTAAGATGCTTCTCCGAGCCACAGTTGAAACTGCAAAAGCAGTTACTCCTGGATGGCAGTCAGTACTCGTGTGGTTACGATACGGTTTTAGAAATCATACGTGAACCGGTTAGTCTTTTTTTATTATTATTCTTTATTGCACAAATAAAACATGTACAAAGGGCGGACTTAACGCTATAACAGCATTTTCTGCCAGCCAACCCAGAATAGTGTAGGAGAGAAGTCAGTAGGGTGTGTACAGAAGTTAAAGAAAATTTTAAAATATGTATATACATAGCAGTAGATGCCTATAAATATATATAATACAGTACATCTCGATGTTATATATAATATAAAATACATAAATATACATATATATAACATAAATATGCACAAACATATACATATACAAGTACATAAATATAGAACATATATATGTATATATATATATATATATATATATATGAATCCAATTATGATAATAGTATTGATGAAAAAACATCACATAGTGTTGACAGACGACAGATAAATTCTTTTACTTGACGCTTGAAGGAATCGCGCGATGGAGCTCTACAAATAGAATCTGGCAAAGTGTTCCAAAGCCGGGCAGCAACTAGAGAGAAAGAGTCTTTCGCCAGCAAAGGGAAATAACCACAAAGCGATCAATAAATTTTGTGAGAGAAAGCACTAGGGCTATAAAATAAAACGTCAAACCTTACTCTTTTATTTTAGCCGTTACGGATTGGACTATAATGATGGATATCTAAGAAAAGCAATATAAAATCCCAGGAGATATTTGTGCGTTAGCGTTTAGGACATATATCTGCGTTCGTGATTTTAAAAGCGTGCTGTGTTAATAGAGCTTACGGTTTCTTGGGAAAACTAACATCCCCGAAGACCATGCCATCAACGTTAACAAGTATATAGCTTACTAACGAACGAAAAAAAAAGCGTTCTTTCTTCGTTAATTTGTACGTTATAAAAGTGAGAGCTAGAGGCATACCAGCTAAATCTCTCTACAACCTACTCAAACATTTGGACCTGTCCAGAACTAACATCAGTTCATTGTAAAAACGATTTACGCGCATTAGTTTGGAGGACCTTAAACCTTCACTTGGGTCGCAATTTTCGGGCATAATTGAAGCACCTCCCACTGCAAAGCGATAGACCCGGCATCCGCAAGGAAAATCCATGGGAATCCATCTATGAGAAGTTTCATCTCATTATTTATAGACTCTCTGCTTAGGGTTATCATAAAATTAAAACGATGTTAAACCCAGATCAACTTGGTGCGTGATTCCTCAACGTATGCAAGAGGTTGGCAATGAAATGATGTACGTAATTTATCTCTTTCTGTAATACAAGGGTAGATTAATTTTATTTTGATTTCAGTGAAAACTGTTTAGTTCCATTTTTCAAATGTTTTCATATAAGGAATAGTATTTAAAATAAATAGTATTTGATAAATTTATATTAATGAATTTCACCATTTCAATGTTACTGGATCTCTAGTGTTATTCGACGATTACTAGCTCCCTGACGTTTAATCCGCTTTCGAATTACTAGTGCTTTTAGCCTTGGTACCTTTGTTTCTGATGAATAAAAAAACGTAAAATATAAGTTATTTACATTATATAACATAATAATAAAATGAATAAATCCAAATAAATATTTAAAATTAAATCATTATAATAAAATTTTGGGTGTGACTAATCGCAAATAAAAACAATAATACTTTTTCATAGAATATTGACCATAACAATATTAAATTTAAAATTATTATAAGATCAATATTTATTACAGTAATATTTAATTGTTCTATTAATATTCTACAAATTATTTATACAGCAGGTGATTGGAAGCCCACACAGTATATATCTTCTATATATATAAAAATGGATTGCTGTTCCTTAGTCTCGCTAAAACTCGAGAACAGCTGAACGGATTTATCTCATCTAAGTCTTGAAATGTTCGTGGAGGTTCAGGGAAGGTATAAAAGATGAAAAAAATTTATTCATTACTGGGAAAACCATAAAAACAGCCCTTTTCTATTTCCCATACAAACGTTTTTTTTTGACATTAGATTTGACAACTAACTAAAATGTCAATCATTATGGCTTACAGGTAAACTCTAAAAATATAAATAAAAAAACGTAATAGATATTTCTTGATTATAGGGCGATACGAAGTTCGCCAGGTCTTCTACATAGTATATATATAATATATTAATTTCACGATACAATTTGATTTCACATTTACATTTAGAATTCAACATTGTTCATTGAATAAAGGAACAATGTAACATATCTTATTGCTAAATAACTACGTCAATATGATTTCTAATTAGGCATGGTTTAGTAAATTTGTAGCGATACTTTACTTATTTAATAATTTTTTTGGACTAACATACAATAACTAAATATACAGTCATAAATAGCTTCCATAATATACTCGTATAGTATTTATAACTAGTTATTTTTTTATGAAATATTAAAGTAATTCTATTAAAAATATATTTATATACTAACTAACTAACCAACTGCAGATGTGGCTGTTGGACATACTTAAATAAATTTATAACCTATGGTTACTGCTTTGTTTACTTCTTCAATATTTACATATTATAAATTAAGGTTAGCCTAAAATATATGTACTATCGAGGGAATCGAGGATGTCAAACCCATAAAATGAGATTTTTCACCAGCTACTACCCTAGGATAGCGCTAGAGCTCATTGTTTTGGTTATTATATGTATAACAAATTTTGCACTTAAAAGGATGTCGTTATAAATTCGTTTTTGTTACTTTTTAGCTCTAGGCAAAAGTGTTTATTTTTTCTGACCGAAATAAATCGCAAAAAAAATACTACTGTCATGCTATGTTTTTATTTCAGAGAAATAAATAAAATATAAGATGGAGAGAATAGGTGCTTGGTGCATACAAAAAACTTATTTTCGTCTCAGTTATTTTACGAAAGGGCATTAAATAAACACAGATGTATCTTTGAATGACTTCTACAAAAACGTGCACAGACGTACAAATTTTTGTATTTTACTACAAGTACATAGTAGGAAACAAAAACTGAGTTCATAAAAACTAATTCTAATAAAATAGAACTTATTAGTTTTATTTAAATACCTTTTTTCCGCTAGAATTGATTTAAGCTAATTGTAACCGTCGATCAAGTATGAAAACTTGAGGTTAATAACCTCTTAATTAATGTGCTCTCTTCACAGATTCAATGTTAAAATATAAAACCTCAACCTTCACCAAGCTGAAGGAAGTTAAGAAATAAAAAAAATATGAAAAGGTTCCATTGACGCAATGTCAGTCTGTTTTCAAGGTGATTCGTGCGTAAATCATGAGAGGAGTTGTTATACTTATTAATGATTTTGCTCTTTGATTTTATTTGCTCGTTACATTACTTTTATTTTGATATGAACAGGTCAACATCGAATATTGTCAACATTGAATTAAGCAATTTTTTTTCTCAGAAATACCGTAGTCCATTCCTCTCCCCACTCTTCGTTGAAAATGATAGATTCAAATAAATTTTATTATATTATTTCATGACAAAGAAATGACAATGTCTATTGAAACAGTTGTATATTTTTCCATTGGGAACAGCTCATGAAAAGGTGACCATAGAAACAAATTCTATTTTGACATGAAATTAAATCAATAGAATGATTACGTCCTAAAACTCTTTAAGCGGTTACAGCTATGAAATTTCATTCGAATGCAATATTACTAATTTAATTTATTAAATAATAACAAAATTCCTTAGTATCTTTATATATTCAATTATGCAACAAAACAATTACGTATACCTACGTTTATCAATACAATAAATAAATTAAAAAAAATACTTAAGTATTATAAAAATAAATAATAAATTTTAAAAACCATTAAAAATAAGGTCAACACGTTGAAATACGGTTTGTTTTATATAATACACAAAGAAAATATTATTTTTATATGTATAAATATTAATATAAACAAATGTTCATCATTATAAAGAAGATTTAGTACTTATTTCATAGTTTCTGATACGTTTCAAAAATAAGCTAGATCAAAATAAATAAAAAAATCATTCATTATGACCCTTATATGATTTTTTTAAAATTTAGAACATACTTTCTTTTTCTTCTATTTAAACTTACGAGTTAGTTTCGCTGACATAGCAAATAAAGTAAATGGTGTCATTCTTAATACAATAAAGATCTCATATATTTATCAGTAAATGTAACATAATTTATTTAATTAATTAATTATCTACTTACTAATACGATTACATATTAGGTTTGAGTTATTTATTTTAAATAAGTATAAAACTTGGCACACATAAATAACGTTGACATTGAACTTCACCCAAATATCGACCGCTTATTTCTTGATATGCAAGTCAAATTTTTACTTATTTCTTTTTATCCACCAATTTAAATCCGTATGATAAAATATGACATTAATAGAAATAGAAAAATAAAATGTACTCTTTCTATAATACAGACTTCATAACATTTTTTAAAATACAGAATATATGTAGAACACAGAAGCTTCAAACATGTTGTTTATTTGTTGTAAAGTCATTTCAAAACTACTTATTTAAGCAACTCTAGTTAAAATTTAGAATTTATAAGCACTCCAAACAAATGAACACTAAACTTTTTATTGTTGAAAATAAAACCTGTTATACTAAAAAAAAAACGCTTTACAAAAGAACTAAAAAGAAAGCGGCTCCAGTTATTAAGCATGACGTCTGAGCCATTCATTGCACCATATTGACAGGAATGTAATGACCCGCCAGACGGCATTACCTCTTTAGCGACATTTTATAACGTATGAGTACTTCTGTTCTCGAGTTAAACAAAAAATATTAAAAGTGTCTTTTGGTTCATATTTCGCAATATTTTTTACACATGCTGAGAATTTTAAAAAATGTATGTTATTAATAATAAATTTAAAAACTAATATTTTTCAACATAATTGTATAAAGCATAGATAATCATAAAAAAAAAAATTATTTACAAAATATTCACAGTTATCATCTAACCCGTATTGGATTATATAGGTGACATAAACATATTTTAGGTTTATATATATAGGTTTATATATATAGGTGACATAAACATATTTTAGTTATTAAAATAATTCCTCTGAACCAAATTTTCAATCAACGAAAAAACGGCAAGTGTTAAAATAAAAAATTACAATGGACTGTCCTATATATTATCAATAAAACGACGAATTAACAAACAAAAGAACTTCAGGGAAAAAATAAGAATAAAATGGAAATTACTCTCACTCATCTAATAAACAGAAGCTTGAAGCTTTTCAACCTAATTACAAGAATCAATTTCAATGTAAGATTGGTACTACGAGTAATAAACCAGTCAATGTAGGAAATTTGCCGTTAATATACATATTTTTCTTCATACTAATCTGATATTAATACTAATACTAATCTTACTAAAAATAATTATTTTGAAAACATAAAACTGTTAAATTTCATCTTTTTGTCTGTTTACTTACACAATGAAAAGTTGTTTGGTACAAAACATATTTGATACAAACAGCCTAAATATTTTTTTTAGAAAACAGTTATTTCAGTGTTTTTTTATGCAATGTTATTTTTGTAATAGTAAATCATCATCATCATCATCATCTTAGCGTTTATCCCGGTCGCTCGTCCAGCCCAGGGCGGGAGAACCCAAGGTCCGCTTTCCTGCTCAGTCTCCCCCACTTTGCCCGGTCTTCGGCTTCCTTCTTAACGAGTCCATTGGCACGCATGTCATCCTGCACGACATCAAGCTAACGTAATAGTAAATATGTATATTCCTAAATAAAACCCAAGTACAGTAACATCATATTATAGTGTTCTAATTATATTAACATTTATAACGTAAACATTTATCATAAATATTAGTATTCTGCAGACTTTAGATTGAAAAAAAATAATTAAAGATTTGTAACATCAAATTACAGTTTTGTAGGAAAATTTGAATTAAGTTCCACCTTTTTATTGAACTCACACTTAATAACTTTGATAAAAACCAAATATATTCCGGTAATGAATCCAACAATTAATATTAATAAGAGATATATATGAATTTATCCTAGAGAAATAAATACTACTTAGTAATATGAACTTAATATTTTAGGACTTTTTATGTACCCAATAAACTTTGAAACCAATTCATGGTGTAAATCAGGCTCATATAAAAATATATATAGTCGTACTTACTTCGACAAACTCTATGGTATAAAACAAACATTGACTTACATATAATATCTCCGATATCTTCGACCCCAAAAGTGAATGTCCCTACTACAATACACACAACCACATCCTTCGTTTATATAAAAGATGCGTTAATTACACACTCTACGTTATTACTCAACTGTTTTACACAAAGGACAAACATGCGTGCTGCAGTTTATACCTCCGTTCTTGTTCTTTTACAGCTGGCATGTGCGTCGGCAAGAAGTAAGTGTGATGTTTGTTGTGTTAAAAGTTTCTAAATATTTTAAAACACTAACGTTTTATAAAGAAACAAAAGCTTTGTACTGTTTAGGCTTTTTTACTATATATATTTTTTTTCAGTCAACATACCATTCCGGTGCCATGCTCTGGACGCGGAGTGTACAAAGGCCTTAGTTCAGAATCTTGTTGTTCCTCTATCTGTAACACTTGACCCCATGTACATAGATTCTTTCAGAATTAATGAGGGAGGATTCAACGGTGACCTTAGCAATATTACTGTGACAGGAGGAAGAAACGCTGTCATCGATAGTGCCGGGTATATATTTTTTTATCATTCATATAGTTAAATTGAAAAACGTTTATTGTAATAAGTAACTTAAAGTAAGAATTGCTTTTACTTACGTTTCTTTATCGCCTAGATTTGATCTTGGTAAACGAGAGATTATGATGCAGTATCATACCGACCTGAAGTTAAAAGGCAGATATAAGTCGAGTCCCGTAGATGCGGGAACCGATATGTCGATGTTCATAAGTGAGTAAAAAACTTTGTACAATTTTATCAATCAAGGAATTAAAATTATAGTACTTTTTTGTAATTACTAAAAGACAGGTAAAATTTTTTAAACAAACCATAATGTAAGTGTATAAAAGTAACAAAAACAATTTCCTCTAACAGGTTTGAAGAAAACGGTACTTTTTTTATACCTCCATGAGCTGAAAATTAAAAAATATCCCATACAAAAACTGATATACGGTGTTTAAGGCATATAAAATGAATAAATCGCGATTATTTTCTCTATTATTATAATTATAATGAACTAAACATAGCCATACTTTATATTGACTCACTTTAAAAACTTCTTCGTCAATGCATTACACGATAAACATTTGATTGTTATTTTTATGTAAGCTTTATAAAAAACTCTAATTTCAGGAAATCTTTACGTAAAACTTTCAATGCCTTATGAAATCATCCAAACCGCAAATAACAATCGCTTTCTTAATTTGAAGTCCTTCAAATATGATTATGAAATTAGAGATAACATCCAATCTCACATAAGAGATTTATACTTCCAGGCTTCCAGTAAGTATAATATAATATATTTGCAATTTATTCATTTAACAATGTTGAATTCTCTTCAATACTGCTGTTCTTATTTTTTAAATGAGCAAATACAACATTTTGTAAAATATTTTTGTTTCAGGCGGTCAAGGTTTTGCAGACCCTGACCTACAGAACCTCAGATTGATTCCTATTCCGTTGGGAAGAAATATGATGGACAAAATTGTGGTTAAAGTGTTTGAGACCCTTAGAGCATATTTACTCTCAGAACAAATATTGAATTTCTTCATTTATTAGAAAGTTACATTGATGATACTGTTTATGTTTTAAATATTAGACATTTATTAGAAACAAATTGATGAAATGCTCTTTGTTCATAATTCAGAAATTAAATTTTTAATGTATACAATTTTACTTTTATTTTAAATATGCAAGAGATTTACAACTATTTTGTCTATGAATTTCAACCTAATAATTTTTCTTTTTTTGAACTTTACATTTATTTTCAAATATAATTGTCAACTTAATATATAGTTCCATCCTATTTTCTATTGATAAACTTAGTAAAAAAAATATTACGTTTTATAGCAAAGTCTTTACATACAGCCTGTGAATAAGAATTCATAGATATATTTTTAGTGAGTAATGAATTATTCATATATAAATAGTTAATATATAGGTGTTAATTTATTATATATTATATATTTAATAGGATTTTCAAACTGAATTCACAAAAAACCAAGTAGAAACTATACTAATACTTTGGAAAGGAAAAAGCAATGAAAGCTTCCGGTACCCGTTCTTACCACACAACACAGACTTACGTCGTTACATATAAGTTTTAAGGGACCAAGTTTCTTCTCTAGTGGAGCTATCTCACACACAACAAGGTTAATATAATTATAAAAATCTATTTTTAAAAAAATTAATAGAAATGGAACTGTAGAAACTTAATCAAAGCCTTCTGGTAATTTACGTAGACATAAACATTTTTGGTAAAGTTAGATATATAAGAAATATTTACAAAAAATCTTAAAGTCGGTTTTAAGTGTGATAAAAAAAAATCTTGTGTAATATTTTAAATTTAAGAGGTAGTTTATGCAAACATTCGTTTCGTTTAATATATTAGATATTTATATGAAAGATATTATAAGAGTATTCAGAGACAAATGTACCTCATAACCTCTCTGTACGTTATTGAAAAATATTTTTTCAAGTAAAATAACTAGAAATGGGTACAGCCATATATATTGGACATATTTATTAAAATATAATAAGTATACTTAGTATAATATTTAACAGTAATAAGTACTTACTTATTTATAATAAGTATACTTAAAACCATAACAATTTCAAGCAATATCGTTTTGAACACATTGATTTTTCTGATAGTTTAGCTCAATACAATCGTAAATCGAGTTTATATCAATAGTAAATGAGTAAAATTAAAAATATATCCTTTTTTCGTCATATAAACTACTTTCTGCTACTAAATTAATTACATTATATAAAAATTTGGAATTTTACTTCATGTCTAGTGAGTAAACTTAAAATGAAATATATTCTTGGCTTCAGAAAAAAAAGGACCAGACCGTATTAATAGTTCTATTATAAAATATAAATATACTTAATGTTGATAAGGTTCTGCTGAGTTAGGAGTTCAATTATCATGTTGTGGTCTTCGCAGAATAGATTAAAATAAACATAAAAGTTCAAATCGAGCTCGTTTTTCTGGAAGAGGAGGTAAATCTTGTAACGTCTCGTTTGAACCACGTTTGTACGTTCTACGATTATTTGTTCTTTATATTGTTTTTATAGATCGATTATAATTCATATATTAAAAGTACGTAAAATTAATTTCAGACTACATTTTATATATTACTAAAATTAACTAACTGCCTCGGCTTTGCAGGTTTTTTTTTTAACAAAAAATGGTTGAGTCATTTTTTTGGATTTAATCAAGGTAAACAAAAATTTCATCATCATAATTTGTTAAACATATTTCAAGATTAAACAATAAAATAGTGAACTTTTATGTCAATGTATAAAAGAATACAATATTTTTTTGTATATAACATTAAAACCGTGATCATGTGTAAAAACGAACAAATTTTTATTAGCTGGAACACATGATGTATGTGACAAGTAACACGTGAAAATAAAAACTTTTTTAACCCTATGTTTTATTTTTTATTAGAAAGATATATAAATAATGGTCAGGAAACTTATAAGTCACGTATCTTATTAAATAACTAAAGAAAACAAAGTCATCAATCTGAATTATTAAACTAGTAATGACACTGATGTAACCTTGAAAATTAAGTAATTTATTTTGAAAAGAATTAATACCGTAATTATGCAAATAGGTTTCCTAAAAACGCTTCAAGAATGTCATATTTCAAAAGTAATATAATGGATATAGTATGTTATCCTTAAGAGATTGACACATGCTACGGTGAACTTTTCTGTGGACCTATATAAGATACACAATTCCACCATATAATATTTTGTTATATCTTAAAGGCTTTTCATTAAAAGCTTCCAAACGGCAATTTTTTTTCCAACAACTTCAACAAATATCGTTATAATACAAATAAATTTATATATATTAAAAACTTACTCGAAAATAACGCTATCAAGTGGTGAAAATCACTTGAAATTTGGTGCAGTAGGCTTTGAGTTTATCGCAAATAGATATACAGAGGGGGCGAGGGAATTTGTTTTATTTAATAATAATAATAAGCCCCCCAAAATCCAACCTTACGTCTGAGTCGAACACTAGACCACATGTTACAAAGCTTAAAGCAGATATTGTTATATTCAGTTAACTGAATACATAAAAGCCAATAGATCTAAAAAACTAATAAACAAAGTAAAGATGATATTTATAAATAAGAAATTACACACTATCCACGAAATAAAACAAGAAACCATAATAATATATAGACACTCTTAAACAGAAACTATTTTTAGAAGCACGTAAACTTGGAAAATACAGGAAAGCACTTTATAGAAAACAAGACAATAAATTATATTGTACCAAAGAATAAGCTTTCTATAGATGATTGAATATTGCTACCTCGAATCATAGAAACAATGAAGAACAAATACCAAATCAAGAGTCACAATAACTAAATATAATTATCATCCGAAATCAGCTATAAATAGATTAACGTTGAAACTACAATTAGGAGGAAGAGCGGTAGTTGTTTAAAAATACTTTGGCAAAACCAAATGCAAAATATTCGAAAATTTACAATTTACAACTAACTAACTATATTGACCTACAGTAAAAGTTGATGATAATTTCACAGCTTTAAATGTAAAAAATAAAAAGAAATAATTTAAAACTAAGTAAAATGAAAAGATTAAGTATTGGAGAAGAAAGGAACTACATGGTAGGCATATCCACGACCTAGAGCAAAATTTCAAAGATTTAGATGCATCAAATAAATGATTACAAAAAGGTTACCTGTTCGTAATCTATTTAGGTAACCTGTTTAGGTACGTAAGTTTTTGAAATTCAATAATAAGATGACTGACTCTACTGACTAACTTTTTCACTCCCCAGAAACACTTGGTCACTAACCCGTGTAACTGGAATACTTGCCCTATTCTTAGGGACATAAATAGTATAAACTAAGAAAATAATAATATTAAAGATATAAGAAAAAATATTTAAGAGTCATTGTGATTAATATATATATAAACTAAGAATACGTTTCATTGAACGATTTGAAAGGCTAAAAAACTTTAAAACTTTAAAATTATTAAAATTTTGAAATTATGCTTTCTACGTGTTTTGATATGAAAATAAAATGATGAAAAATGTTTATTTTATATTTATTTCAAAAAATGGAAACGCGAATCAAATAAATGTTTTTCTTATAAATGTGCAAAAAATCCTAATAAATGAAGAAATTTGAAATTTGTTCTGAGAGTAAATATGCTCTAAGAGTCTCAAACACGTTAACCACCATTTTGTCCATCATATTTCTTCCCAATGGAATAGGAATCAATCTGAGGTTCTGTAGGTCAGGGTCTGCAAAACTTTGACCGCCTGAAACAAAAATATTTTACAAAATGTTGTATTTGCTCATTTAAAAAATAAGAACAGCAGTATTGAAGAGAATTCAACATTGTTAAATGAATAAATTGCAAATATATTATATTATACTCACTGGAAGCCTGGAAGTATAAATCTCTTATGTGAGATTGGATGTTATCTCTAATTTCATAATCATATTTGAAGGCCTTCAAATTAAGAAAGCGATTGTTATTTGCGGTTTGGATGATTTCAAATGGCATTGTAAATTTTACATAAAGGTTTCCTGAAATAAAGTATTTCATACAGTTTTCCACAATTATATATAACGTGGTATTGGTTTGATTTAAAGTGATCCAATATTGTTTAATGTGAATTATCCGAGTCAATGTGAGCTATGGCTGTTTTTAATTTATTTCTATCTTAATAAAAAACAAAAATTTATCGTATCGTATTCATTCGATCTGTCTTCAAACAACTTATATCAGTTTATGAGGTACGAAACAAACAGCGTTTACATGATAACTATCAGCGGAAATTGTTTTTGTTACTTTTATACACTCACATTATTGTTTGTTTAAAAATTACCTGTCTTTTAGTAATGACAACAAAGTACTATAATTTTAATTCCTTGATTGATAAAATTGTACAAAGTTTTTTACTCACTTATGAACATCGACATATCGGTTCCCGCATCTATGGGACTCGACTTATATCTGCCTTTTAACCTCAGGTCGGTATGATACTGCATCATAATCTCTCGTTTACCAAGATCAAATCTAGGCGATAAAGAAACGTAAGTAAAAGCAATTCTTACTTTAAGTTACTTATTACAATAAACGTTTTTCAATTTAACTATATGAATGATAAAAAAATATATACCCGGCACTATCGATGACAGCGTTTCTTCCTCCAGTCACAGTAATATTGCTAAGGTCACCGTTGAATCCTCCCTCATTAATTCTTAAAGAATCTATGTACATGGGGTCAAGTGTCTCAGATAGAGGAACCACGAGATTCTGAAGTAATGCCTTTGTACACTCTGCATCCAGAACATGGCACCGGAATGGTATGTTGACTGTAAAAATTAATACAGTAAAATCCCTAAACAGTAGAAAGCTTTTGTTTCTTTATAAAACGTTAGTGTTTTAAAATATTTAGAAACTTTTAACACAACAAACATCACACTTACTTCTTGCCGACGCACATGCCAGCTGTAAAAGAACAAGAACGGAGGTATAAACTGCAGCACGCATGTTTGTCCTTTGTGTAAAACAGTTGAATAATAACGTAGAGTGTGTAATTAACGCATCTTTTATATAAACGGAGGATGTGGTTGTGTGTATTGTAGTAGGAACATTCACTTTTGGGGTCGAAGATATCGGAGATATTATATGTAAGTCAATGTTTGTTTTATACCATAGAGTTTGTCGAAGTTACTACAACTATATACATTTTTAAATAAGCCTGACCACTATGAGTTGGTTTCAAAGTTTATTGAGTACATACAAAGTCCTAAAATATTAAGTTCATATCATTAGAAGTATTTATTTCTCTAAGATAAACTTAAATATATATATATATATATATATTTCTTAATACTATTAAAATAAATCAAATAGTTGGATTCATTAATTATCGGTAATAGTTTGGTTTTCATCAAAGTTACTAAGTGAGTTCAGTAAATAGGTGGAACTTAATCACAATTACTACAAAAAATTCAGATTTTTTACATGTTAAATCCGAGAAAGAAGTACTACTTTGATATTACTAAAAGACAATGTGAAAAATTGTTTCCGAAACAATTATATTCCTAAGCAAAGAATGGAGTTCTATTTTTGTTCCTGATTAATTCTTTTAAATGTTATTTTTTACTTTTTTATTTTAGTCTATATAATAATAATACGTCATTAATTATATTTGTAAATATATAGGTATTTAAGGCTCTTTAATTGCAAACACAAAAGACACATGTATTAGTTTTATCGATATTATTGTACCGTATTAAAAGTCACAAATAAAATAAGACATACCATTTAGATATTAAAAAGAATTAAATTATTTATGATGTCATTTTTCTATCTGCATTTTTACTCTAATAAACTTTAATGACGCAATAACATTCACTCTTTTTGAAATTCATAAGAAAAGTATTTGTCAACAGCAAATATAAATTTAATTCATACCCTGCATTTGCTATGATTTGCTGTTAGTCTTTTTTTCCTTTGTTCATAACAAGTTTTTAAGTGTCCTTCATCTTCCAACGAAACTGCGTTGGCATTCCATTATAAATATTATGAAATATTATTAGGTTCAAAATGGTGTATATTATTTATATTTGACGTTTCACCCGTACCTGAAAGGGGAATTTTATTGATTATAGAAACATGCACAATTTACCAATTATTTTAATTTAACTTCTATACTCGGTGTGAAAATCTTAATAGTCATTAACATATGTAATTACTTTTCAACTTTATAAGATAAATCTGTAAGAGAATAAATGAATAATAGTTATGAAGTTCTAATAAAATGTGACACTCAGTTTGATTGTTTGTCACTTTTAAATAATTCACCGACATTAGGAAATTTTTAGTGGCACGGAAACTTTCAAACCGTAACCATGGCCAAAATCATGATTTATTCCTACTAGAGTCTTAACCAGCATACAATAAATTAACAAAATTATTTCATAATTTGCATACAATAAATTAACAAAATTATTTTATAATATTAAAGTGATGTAGATATTGTCCATTGCTTTAAACGGTAATTTTCATAACATTGCCTCAATTTTATTCCTCCATCTATCAAATGTAGCATTGCAGACAACAGCTGACTAAAGACAAAGTGCAACGAGCTGTCTCGAATTCGGATAGACTCATTTTAGCTGACCGTAATATATGTTCAATTATTCGTACAAATACTCACCAGTATTTTTGTGTTTTTATAAGTTATTGATATAAATTTTGTGCTGAGTTTCTAACATTATGTACCTTCTTTTACCCGCTTAGTAACAGTGTATGTACTATATATTGTTATATAAGTACTATACATAGAAAGTATAAATAAAATTTTTCATTAATAACAATTGCGTCACATTAGTAACGAATGTCAGGTCTTTATACTCCGTACTTCAGTATCCTCAGAATTAATAAGACTTTCATAGTTCTGCATAAAACACTTATTTGCAACGGTATCGTATATTGTAGCTTTATTTGTTGGCCTATTTATAATGTACATATTTCTACATTATAACTAATTTAGAAACGTTTTAATGTGACATCACACTTTTAAATGTGGTGGTTAGTTCATTATATAATTTGTGAAAGTCGGAGATTTCAGTGTGAAAATCACGTTAATAATCACCTCGTTTGCTTTAATTAATTTATTAGCTTTGATATATTAGCGGCATTTCTGCGGCCAAAAAAAACATTTTGTAGAAAAAAGACATCCTAATATGTATTAATTTATTAAAAGCACCTATAAATAAGCTATGTGCTTAATTAATTCACAGTTATGTTTAGTTTTAAGTGTAACCACAGTTTCCAGGAAAACTGAAAAAAATATATAGTATAATTTATAAACTAAACCTTACACTACCTTATATTAAAATAAAAAAGTCATCAAATTTCTTGGTATCAGGAATGTTTTCGTTCCCACCACGAAGTGTTGGCTCTGAAGAGTCCGCAACGTCACTAGTTTTATAAAACCTTATTCACACAAGGGTGCTGAGCCGGCGCGGGCGATGCTAGTTCTATTTTTTAATAAAAGTTGCTCGAGCATAGCAGCTTCTAAAATATCCACGTTATTAATTTAGTAAACCATTTATCACGGAATAAAATATATTCATATGACTTTTAGAACACATATTATTTTTTATTTTGTTATGTTACTATAATAAACCTTAACAATAGCTATTACAATAATAATTATTATTATAATTAATTAATATATGTAATTATCCCATGCAATTTATATAATGTTCTCATATCTGAACTAGTATGCAATGTTTTTATTTTCCACTTGTTCTTTTAAAAGACTCAAGTGAATAACAAAATCAAACATTAATCTCTTTAATTTTTAATTTCTCATTTTAAAAAATTAAATATAAAAAAAATCTCTCATTACGATATTTTTCAAAATGATAGTTTATAAATTCTCTGACTAAAGAACACAAATTTTTTTGCAACAGTGACGACAATGCTTGATTATTAGATGGTAAAATTATTATTCCTTGGTAAATTATTTCACAAAAACGAGATATTTCCATACAGAGGCGTGTACTGTGATCATATCATAACTATTTTTCATGTTTATACTGTTTGTTTCTTAATAGGATTTTTATATTCCTTCTCCTAATATTGACAAATGTTAAGAAAATTCTAAGTATGAAAACATTTTCCAGACACATATTTCTTTTACCAATCCGCGTTCTATGTATCCGATAATAATCCTCGGTAGAGCCATTCTCCCTCAAGGATATAAATCCAGATTTTCTTACTACACAGACGAAGAATATTTTATAAAATTAATTCTAAGTATAATGTAAGGAGTGCATATTCATAGTATTTTCATTTAAAATAAATCTAAAGAAATATAATTTTACGTAACTTACATGTTGTTCTCATTATAAATAAAAAAATTAATCATGAGTTAACTTAACAAAAGAAAAATTTATTTATTGAAATTTTCTGAGTTACTGAGCACGTAACTCTTGTAATAATCAATTACACTTTAAAATTTATTTAAATTTACAATGAAAATAACACAAGCATGGATTCTAGTGTAAACGATATCTTTAAGGGAGGTTCAGATAAATTAATGTTTCTATTTAAACTCAATGAATCCTTTACTTGAGGTTGCTTTCTGCAAAACCATATACGTTGTAGTTATTTATATATCAAAGTTAGTTAATTACTTATTTACACAGTTTTAAAAAAATCGGAAAAAAATACGTTGACATTCATAACCCTTAAATGAAATTACTGCTTTCTGTAAAAGCTGATTTTGAATACAATACAAAAAAATATAAGTCTTGATTTTGCCCTAGTTAAAATACCATTATATTGAAGTAACTACATATTCCTTAAACATGCTTTAAAAATAAATGCATAGACTACTTTATAAATTGTTATAAATAAAATATGTCTGTGTATGTTTGCATTAAACTGAGTTCAACTTAGAGCAACATTTCTTAATTTTAAGATTAGCAGTCTCTTTTAATATAAAACTTTTATATTACATATGTACAATAATAATTGATTTTTAAATATATCAAACATGTACAATTCCATAACTATTAGAAACGATATGAAGTAAGTACCTTTTTAATTATATGACTACTGTAGAGGTTTCTTCGCAAATACATACATAACTGTCTTGTGATTATAATTATTTTAAAACCATGCACAACATTTTATGTAAATACAATCTTATGGGGATTAATCTCTTAATTACTAATTAAAATAATATGCCATACACATAATTACTTCTTCTGATGATCTTAAAAATGTAAATAAAAAATCTTTTAAAAAAAACAAGCTTTTATTTAAATGCATTAAAACGAAAAAAAGTTATCTACTCATAACGTTATCACATAATTTTTATCTTATCAAAAGTTTTTCTAGTTTAAATGCTCGTATGTATTTACAGTGTTTGTAAATTATTGCAATTCAATCAATAGCATGAAGTTATGTTTTTGTACCAAACTAAATCTTAAAAAAATCGTTTTCATTTGATGGCAAAAGTTTGTTAAAATTACTGGTCACCCTTATTGGATATGCCATCATGTTGGATACAGAATGACGTCAGAAAATCAGATCTAAGACTTTCGCGAGTATTTATTTGAATAAAATTAATATTTTTCGGATTACCTACCTATCACGTGTATTTTATTATTTTAAAAAACTTCATACTTTCAACTTTTTGGTTATTTTGAAACAACCTTGATCACGGGCAGACTAGATGAAAATGTATATCCGTTTGTTTTTATTATTTATCATCTACCTCCAACGATTTCTTAATTTTCTATTGTACAACTCTTAATGCCTGCAGAATGCGCTTACTGTTTCTCGTCGTCCTGCTGTGTGGTCACGGACATAGGATTTTATATTTTTTTATGACGGGCTCCCAGGTGTTAGATAGATTCCAACCATATTCTCAATTTAAATTGTGATGTTGTATTTATATTTTAATAGTCTCACGGTTTAGTCTTGGTATGTACCTGACTTCACGAGCGAGATTTTATAGTTTGTCGACCCGAATGTAGTGGCCTGTTTGGTCCATTATGTGTTCAAACACTGCTGACTACGACGCGAGCCTATTTTTTATATCTAAGACATGTACTTTAAGCCTTGTACCGATTCTCCTCTTTGTCTGTCCAATGTATGACAGGCCAGAATGATAATCAAGTTTGTAGGTATACGCCCGCTTGTTGTAAAGGAATGGTACTCTTAATTGGTCTCAAGAATTGGCTAAATTGTGTGTTTGGTTTGTATATAATTTTACTAGAAACCTTCTTCAAGATGTTGCCTATATCTGACATTGCCCCTTCACAGATCGTGATATCGCAGGTTCTCGCTCACCTGTGGGCGTGGCTTCAAGTTATTCTAGCGATGCTGGTTAGGCACGGGCAGGTTGTTAGTGGTGAGAGAAAGAATTATATATTTGTCTTCAATTCTTTTAAAGGTTGTAAAAAGGTAGTCGTTGATGACTAAAACTTTATAGTTAGTAAGTAGTATTTAGAACTAGAGTTTTTACTAACACTAAGTCTTTTGTGTTTTATAACACCATTTCATTATTCAATATCATTATAATTTTTTGAATTTTTATCAGTTTACGAATACGTTTTACTACAGACACATTCAATACATTCCTTTTATATCATTTCTGTAAAATTTGTTTTAAAAACTTCCTTTCATAGGTGAATTATGTATGCATGGTTTTTTTATCCCAATATGATAGCAATATCAAGTATTGCTATTTATATAAATGAATAACATAATAACGTTAATAAAAATATTATGACAGCTTCTTGAACTATAAGGAATACTTTTGTATTATTTTCTTAGCATTAACAGAACAGTAGTACATTGTATAAATAAATGACATCCATTTTATTATCATTAATTAACATGTGCTTTATCTTTTAATACTTTTTTAAGGATGCATCAATTAAATAAAAAAAATCGTAATAGCTTATAAAAAAAATTAAACTTCTTTTGTAAAAGATTTCTTCTTTACCAAAAATAGATTGCATTAAAGAAAATTTATAAGTATAACATAATCTGTATACACGTTAGTAAAAATAAACAAACATTTAAAATTTTTAATAATCTTTTAATCATTCGACTTGTTTTCAGGCCTTTAAAATCTTAAAATTATTCCAACTACTTAAAACGAAAACATGGTTATATTTTTTAATTATATACGCGAAATAATAATGTAGTAAATATTGAAACCTTGCTTTCCAAAAATAATGTAAAATAAAAATAATTTATCACAAAACTTATACGTCAAATTCTTCGGAATTTCAAAAGAATGTGTTAACTAAATTAATGAACTAATTAGTCAGATCCTCTAAAAAGGTTTTGATATAATAAGCTACAAAGATGGCAAGTACTCAAGTATAATTTGCGAATACTTTCCTTTTCTCATAAGTTCAACAATGATGATATTTCAACTGAAAATGCATGTGTCTGCATATAATAATAAAAATAAAATGTTAATTGAGAGCGTACAAGGTATAAAACGGAATGTTATTACGCTGCATCAAAATAATAATAATTATTTAACTATTTTTGGATTAAATTCGATTCCATTACCACATCTCAATTGATATGTTTGTTTTAGTTCTGGTTACTTCATAAAAAAATCTTAAAAATATTTTTGTAAACCAGTTTTAAATGTGGGGTAATAAGCAATCTTTTACTAATTAAATTTTTAAATAAATATAAATTAAGTTCAATGAAATATATAATAAAAATGTGAATATTAAAAGTTAGCTTAAAATTAAATCTATTTTCGTAATTATGAAGTGAAAAGTCTATCTAGTCCTGTGGGACTTTATGTTACATTCTTAAAACGAAACTATTAGAATCTATTATACGTTTGATCTTAATCTTCATCTTCAAATGAGCTTTTTAAAACTGTAAATCTTGTAAAGGTTTGGATCTTATAAAGGTTGCTAGGGCGTTGAATACTTTTCTGTAAACGTCGTCAAAAATCATGGGTCCAAATACTTGAATTGCCAGCCTCCAGTTTTCAACAAAGTATGTATGAATATGGTCACCTAAATAAATACAAATAGAAATGATATACATTATTTCAAAAACATGGCAACGATATCAAATTAAAATACTTATGTGAAATATTCATTATATTAAAACACAATTTCATACATAGTAAAGATGTGCATAACGTAAACGTTATTACTAACTATAGTAAGAATATCACTTACTATAGTAAACGATATTTCGTGAAACATCTTGGGAGAGTTTGAACTTTCTTAAGTGAAGAAAACCAATTTATTAGCGAGCAATAATATTAATAATAAAATAAATAACACATATTCTAAATATAGCAAGAGAGCTCGTAACCGCGTAAATAACTGAACTTATTTAATATTCCAAGCGTATTTCTAATATTAAAGTTTAATTTTTTTTATATTTTAATATTTGTATACCTACAAATTATACTTTCGAAAGCAACCATTATGTACTATTACTACTAGTCCAATCTATAACTACTAGTCAATTTTAGTTTTAAATTTAAATACATTTTGAAAACTTTTTTTCAAATACTTACTTTTTTCTTGATCTCCATAGTACAAGTTACTAAAATTGAAATTCGCACCATCATTCACATCCAAATTATAAGTAAAGTTTTTTAAATCCATAAAACTTCTATTGAGAGAATCAAGATATATTTCAAAAGGCATAGTCATAACAACATTTGTATTATCTGAAAAATAAACAATTATTATTTTATTATTGAAAATTTTCGATTAAGAAATAATATGTAATGTTTTTTATTGTATAAATAAAATTAATGGGTTTAGTTTAGCGTGGACGAAAATGAAGCTATATAATATTGAACTTCTAATGGCCTATACAAGTACAATGTTCCATCGTTTAAATTATAGCGCTGATATGATAATCGTCGTTAACATGTACTTGTTAATTGATTCAAACTATCTAAATATCTCCTATGTCTTCATTATCCAAAACAGAATAAAAGCATTTACAATAAAATTTTTTGTCTAGTAAGAAGAATAACCAAGCAATCGTCTTACAACGGTAGCTTTGTATAAACTCGTACAAAGGACCACCTTTATTAAATAGAGTATTGTTTTAAAACTCACTCATTGTTATCACCTTCTCCAGAAACAGGCATTTTAAACAAAAATCCATCCATTTTGTATTGACCCTTTAATTTAAAATCAGTGTGAAATACTAATCGCATTACTTTTGAAGCCATATCTATTCTGGAATATAAGCGTATTATAGATTTATTCCATTTTAACCCACAATTCTAAATCTCGTATTAATGATTGTTTTATTCGAATCACTTCAAATAACTAGAAATGTACGCGGAATTAATTGTTTTTTTTTTGTGATCTTACCTTAATTCGTCTATAATTGAATCTTTAAATCCTTCATTCTTTACAGCTAGGGCCTCAAATATCAAACCATCTTTTTCTTTTTTGATGTGTTCTATAAACAAAGGTTCCAACCTTTCAGTAGGAACATCTTCTAAGCCCTTTGCAAAAACAGACACATTTTCTTGAGCCCTTGCAGTAAGGCAACATGTATCAGCTATATAACATTTTCTTGATTTTCCTAGTGCCTCTGAAACATCAAGTTAAATTAAATGAAAATAAAACATACAATAATAAACTAGAGAATACTTACGAGAAGTAAAAGCTAACTGAACTATAATTTGGAAAAATAATTTATAGAATCTCATAATTTAAATGAGATTACCTACACTACTTGCAATAGTCAACGCAAATGTTACCAAAATAATTGACACTCATACTTTATATAGATCATATCTTAATTTATGAAAATACATAAAAAAGAAAAACCTAAGTATAGTTTTTATTTTTACTGAAATGTTTATCGAATTGGGTTTATTTTAAAATTTGTTAAAATTTCATTTGCATTCATTTTAAAATTTAGCATTTTAAAGGACATAACAATAATTACGTAAATAAACTGACATAAATATATTTTGAGTCAAATAAATAATTATAAATATTGGTCTTTGAATAATTAATATAATTGTAATAGCAAAAATATACATATATAGATGAATTGGATTTCTCTGCAATTATTAAAAAAAACAGTCTATACTTTTCCATATTATCACTATGTGTAACTTACCATAATACATATAACACTGTTCTATCCTGTAACAAGTTTTCTAAAAAAAAGTATAAAAACGGGGTTTTCCCGAAAGTAAATTAAAAAATAACAAAGTTTTTAATTTTATAGTAGAAATGTCCAAAATTTAAAAACTGGTGTGAATTATATGATACAATATCTATACTAATATTATAAAGCTGAAGAGATTGTTTGTTTGTTTGTTTAAAAGCGCTTATCTCAGGAACAACTGATTACAATGTTAAAATAACACCGATAAAAATTTCACTTGCCACATTATTTTTTTGTGCTAAAGGGGCAACGGAGCAATCGCCCTACTTGATTGATGTAGTGTCGCCTCCCATAGACATACATAACATAGATTTGCGTTAGGTTAACAACTTTGCGTTAACACTTGGTTAGGAAATAGGGAGAAAAGGTGGGAAAGCGAGGGAAAAGGGCAAGGTCAGGGAAGGTGGAAAAAAGGAAAGGGCAACCGGCTCTTTCATCCATTGGACGAAACGCATCCATTGAAGACTGGTACTTCCAGTGGTACTTCCCCGGTCGAGCCAACCCATGTTCGAGCTGTAGTAACTTGACTACAGCACGGTTCTACTCATTGCTTGCGGGCGACCCGGGGGGTGCAGCTCTCCGAAGTAAAATACCCCGCGGCTCAGAAGTACTTTAAAAAAAATTGTCTAAAATAAAAACAGAAATTTACGCGGACAAAGTCATAAGTAACAGCTATAATTTATAAAGCTAAGGAGGTTGTTTGCAAAAATAAATTTGATGCCCAAAATAAGTATTCCACGCGGTAGAAGTCGCGGGCACGGCTAGTTCTAGATAAAATGAAAAACTGTTATACGTTTGTTAACTAAACTAAATACATAAACAATAGAATAGATTATTCTTGTTAATTCCTTCTTCAAATTAAATCATACCTAGGAATAATTTGTTAAATAATATCATTAATCAGGTACATTAATTATTAAAAGAAGAAAAATTATGTAATTCCCAGAAGTTCCACTCATAATACTTACTTAGAAAGTACAATTTTTTTTAAACATAAAACTTAGCGGTTTACAGTATTTTATTGTCTATACTAATTAAAAAAATATCATCAATACTCATTTATAATTTTTAAAATGATGAGATATGTTGTAATACTAGAACAATCCCAGAGTTTTAATTGTCTTTACAAATAATATTTTTTCCAAAGCTGGAAAGCCATAGAATATCAACTTTTAACCATTTTAAAATAATGAAGATTCTAATAGAAAGAAACACTGACAAGAAAAACTTCAATTATGTTTTTTATATTAAAACTCATATTTTCTTTACACTAGTAGTGAATGGACTCGAATAAAGACAAAGTAAAAAAACTCAGTAGAAAAAGCGATTGAAAACATCATAATAGACAAAGTTTGAATCCGTCTCATGAATTTTACTCTTTCTGCATTTTACAAAATTTTGTACACAATAACTATTGATTGTCAATTGTCCCAGAAACTGGTTTAAAAAATTAATGTAAAGTTTATGGTCGCGTACTCAGACTCTATAGTTATTTACTACTTCAAAAGATAATGATAGGTAAGTGTGGTAAAAATAAGGATGAAACTATGACCCCTGAAAATCAATCAATATTCTTGCAAAACTCAAACAATTTTTCTGACATACATAGTTGTACCTCATCAGTCATTAAAAAAAACTATTTAAAACATATTGTACAAACAACACATTGCTGCTAAAACAGTAATTCTGATGATTTTTTATACCTTTCACAAGGGACTGAAAATTATTTAAAAATATATCATAATTATTTAATAATCTGTATAGTGTTTCGATAAAAATAGCAAAAACACGTAATTGCTACACAGTACACAATTAAAGGAACTGTGTTTTAACACAATGTTACAAACAAAATGTAAAATAAATTCATCTTAAGTTTTGTTTGGTAGTACCATTATTTGTTTTTAATTTAACCTCTTGATAAAAAAGATGCTTTATCAGGAAATAATTACACGTATTTAAAAATATTCGATACAATAGGGAATATGCATAAAACTTTAAATGGCTCAAATAATTTTTTCTCGAATACTTATTATTTCATATTAATATAGAAAGTTTTTTTTTAATTTACTTATTACTATTAAATATTAGATATTCAATAACTGGAAAATAACTGAGTGATTTTCAAACTTCCATTGGTCGAACGAAACGTGACGTCATCTGATACATTCATCAGCGTTGAAACTCATTCTGTTTTATAAGATTTTGCGAACAAGATAAATAATTTAAACCTGTATTGTATTTGTATGGAGTATAAACATTATTTTATTATTTTAAATTACTTCAATATAAAGCAAAGCACAAAATGCAAAAGCACAACATACGGCGGTGTATCTGGTAACGCGACGTGGCTTATGGGTCTACGAGCGGTGTCCGGTAAGTGATAGCGGACAAGTTAGTGAGTTAGTAAAACAAGTTACCGGGTTTCCCCATGTTCGGCAAAGGAGGCATTGACTCAGCGGATTCAACCTAAGAGTTCATGATGTGCGGCGCACCCGTTGTTCAGGTATGCGTATAAAATAATTTATGAATAAAAAGACCTGTTCCTGTCCAGAAATAACGTCAGTTCACTCTTGGAACGGACTTCCAAAGCAATTAGTTAGGTTAGTTTCAAATTTAGTTAGGTAGAGAGAGGGGCTTGGCCGGTGGAGATAGCCATTTAACGCGCGTTAGATAGGGGCCCCATAAACCTACACCTGGGTCGCAAGTCCCAGGCACTGTTGAAGCTCCTCTCCCTGCAACGCGAGGGACCCGGCACCCGCGCGGTAAATCCCTAAAATGCTGAGAGGTTTCGTCTTGTCTCTGTATTTATTTATTTTTGCGCTCTGGCTACTGAAAGACTAACCGCTTCGCCTATGGTTTTTAGAACCCTATCGTGATGAATCAATCAATCAATCAATCAATCAATGATATCGACTATGACCGCTATTCAGGAGTAACTTACATCCCACAAGCACATTATTAGCATTTCCAACTGCCTTCTCTCAGATATAACAAGATTTTCGGTACTTTTACCCCATCTAACTAAATTACTCTGATCTGTCAATCATTTAGAATGCTTTGAGGTAAAATTTTAGCAGTGCTTGATTCCATTCATGACTTAATCAGACTTTAGTGCTTGTGGAACGTAAAAATCTCCTATGTTTAATGTCCACCTGCTAAAAGTTTCAGTCTTGATTAGTATCTACATATATAATAGCCGAAAAAGTATTAAGTAGCTTCATAAATATCAGTCGCTTGTTAATTCCTTTATCCTGTTGATGGGATTACTTTGATCAACTGTTCTACTCATCGCAACTCATTTAATATTTTGTCGTCGGTAACTATGAACATACAAACATGCTTCTACTCATGTAATGTTTACAGAAATTTGACTTTTTATTAACATTGACTGAACATTGTGACAATATTCCTGCAATTTGGATAAAAAATTATGATAGGTTAAACCTTTTATTATTGAGTACATGGTTGAAGACTAAATATGTGTATCAAACTCCATAACGTTCCAACAAGAATGGCTTAACACTATTGTACGTAAGTAAAATTAATTTAAAAAATGATTTAATGTTCACCTCTGTAGTAATGAGCCTCAAAAACGTTTGACTTTGGCTTGATTAAAGAATGCATATCTTTGAGATTACTAATTTAATGAAGCATATGGTTTCTATAATGACAGAATAATAGAATCTTTAATGCAGTGGCACTGATTGCAGTGCCATTGCATTTGGACTCCATACAATTTTTAAAGATGGCAGACAACTCGCAAATTATATTATCTATACAATTCAATCACGTTACAACCTATGTTGTTTGCAGAAAATAAATGAGTGTAAATACATATGCCATCTCTTTTCACAACAAGATTAATTAAAGAAGGAATGAAAACGCTGAAATTAGTTTATTCAAAAGGAACTGTTTGTCTTTGTTGATATACGGTTTAAACATTTTTTCGTTTTTTTATTATTTTTCTGATTGTAAATTAAGAAATTGTAATAATCTTATTTCTGATTTTATTAATTAACTTTCGAACATGATAGCTGACAGTTCTGTGCTCATGATGTGTTTTTAAATAAATAAAAAAACGATTAAACATTCCCAAATGTGTACGCTCCTGATTTATAAGTATGTAGTCATTATTTTATAGTCATTTCTTCTTTACAAAAAAAAAATTGAATAACTGTGTAATTACGTGATTAATTTTAACTTTTCAATTTTAAGACGAATTAGAGAAAAAATAAACTTTTGCTATAAAAATGTATTCAGAAAATAATTACAAAAAAAAATTGCCACAATGTAAGTATTACTTAAACATTGATTTATGATAATCATTTATTTACATTCCATACTTTTATATATGTTTCATTTTATAAGAGCAAGTCGTGAAGAGGTCTTGAACGCATAAACGTAGCAATTGCGTTGTATAGTTTGAAAGCAGCGTCGTCCATAATAAGAGGTGCAAAAACTTGAGTAATAGCCTTCCAGTTGTTGTTCAAAAAGTTATGAACGTAATCACCTAGAAGCAATGTGAAATAATATCCAAAGTTAATCACGTCAGATATAAAAATTTTGCTCTTTGTATTTACAGCATAGGTTTTAAGACTATGTGGCTAGCTTATTTAAAATTTCACATATACCATTTATTATTTATATTGAATAGTTACTTACTTTTTTCTTGATCTCCATAGTACAGGTTTGAAAGCCTAAATTGGGCGCCATCCTTTACTTCGAAATTGTAAGTATAATTCTTCAAGTTCATGAACGTTTTACCATATGCGTCAAGAAGTAAATCAAATGGCATTTTTAGCTCGACTTGTAGGTTTCCTAAAACATACATTTGATTATTTCCATAAATTGTCATTTGAAATTTAATGACAAATATACATAAATACTGCATGTATTTTATTACATCTAAGCGCAGACATAATAATTAGATTTAAAGGTTACTACTTCCAAGACTCTTGATACTGTGTATTAATGGGTAAATATTATATATTAATTGTATTGTAACAGTAACATAAACTTCGCAAATCAAAAAACTATATAAATATTAAAATCGTTGTTATATCGCTACAATTATTATTATGAGAATATAATTCTCTGGGTATACAAATTTTATATGAATAATCAGTAACACTCTTTCTTTCCTATGATTACAGCCAAATGGAAGGTAAAAGTGCCTGTTAAAACTAGTGTAGGTAATATATCGATCAAGGAATCAGTAACCTACTTTCTACAGTGAGCAAATCTCCTTCCCCACAAATTGGTATTGTGAACAGGTCACCATCGATTTTATAGTTACTCCTTATAGAGATGGGATCTACATGAAATGCCAACCTCAATATCCTTGAATTCATGTCAATACTGAAATAAAAAATATTATAATTTTCTTTAAATATAGACACATAAATAAGTACTATTAGTGTTTGCAAAGCATTTATTCAAGTAAGTGTGAATTTAATTTATATAATATAATAAAAGGCTCAAATAGTCCTTGTATTATAATTCAAAGAACTGTTGCTATAAATACATACCTAACTTCATCAATAATTGACTTTGCCAAACCGTCTATCCGCAAATTCTTTCCTTCATATTTTAAACCCGCTAAGTCTTTTTTAATATAATCGATACACATTGGGTCAAGTCTTTCAATGTTCAAGTCTGGTAAACCCTGTACAAATAGAGCTACACTTTCTTGTGCTCTTGCAGTGATACATTTAGTGTCAAACGCAAAACACCTTGACTCGAGAGGAGAAGCTGTCAATGTAAAATGTCAATGATGAAATGTTATTAAAATGGTGCAGTAAATATTTGACTCTTTATACATATATATATACTCACAAGAAATGTATAATAGCTGTAAAATATTAAGAAACACTAAAAGAATAGCCTTCATTTTGACGGATAATAATCAGAAAAATAAGTGGATAATAATAAAGCCGGGTTTACTGTCTGTAACACTGGATGCACGTATTCTGAACAGAGTTAAGCAAATAATGGTTTATATATCCTTATTTTAGTGTAACTCAATTATTAACAGGATGGACAGGTTTCAAATACGAACAAAAAATTACACATCGCCGTAATACATTTCAAGCTTTCAAATTTTTAAAGATTTATAAGTACAATAAGGAAGTAAATTGTATCTCGTACTCATTAAGTGATATATCATGCGATATCCATTTTTATAGCGCTCTTAAAGATATATGTATATGATTTTTATATAAAAGAGGTATCTGTGATTGATTTTCAATTATACAGCAGACCTTATTATGTACATACTTTCAAAATACCCCAACGATTTTACAACTTTTCACATCTTCTTATTAATATTTTTTAATAAAAAGCAGCCAACCATAATAATTTTTCTTAATAATAACATAGTTTTTATGAGTATGTTTATCAGCAATGTACATACATATTTTATGAATATATATCTTTTCATCTTTGAACGTTCAGAAAGTCTTGTGAAATCATTACGAAGAAATTACGAAAAAATCATTCTTTTTTTAATGTTTCGATTTTTAGCTGTATCTTAAAACATAAAAAAAGTTTTACTATTTATTTTTATTTGATAAATAGGTATTTTCTCAGAGTAAAATTATTTGTTTCAGTGTTCACTATCATATTCCTCCAAGGTCAAGCTAATCATTCCATCCCATACTCATCCTTTTATTTTTATTACAATATATATATAAAAGCCTGACTTTAAACCTAGATTATAATTTAAGATAAATTTGAATCGGTTGCAAGTAAATTAAACCTTATATGATTAATAATAGAATAATAAAAAATCAAGTAATTTATAAGTATTTTTGTAAACCAACTGTAATAATAGTTTTAAAGTATACCTTATAACTTATAAGAACGTGTCGAATAAAAGTGAGTATCAAAGAATATGTGACAGTGAAATCTGTGAGATATCAGAATTTTTAGGTGCTCTAAGTTTAACGAATAAAATTTTTATTAAAAATAAAAGGATTATATTATGAGACCTGTAGTTACTAGGGCTGTCAAGTGCACTATATGACCAGCAACAGCTTTAAATTTTTATTTTATATAATTAAATTCCTACACTTTTGTATCATTGCAATTGACACAAAGTTGCAAATGACCGTACTCTAAAGAGCGTTTCTTTAACTTTCTGTATTAAACTCATAACATAAATATTATCCAAATCTCGTCTGCCCGTGATCACGGTTGCTGTAAAGTAGCCGAAAGTCGGGAGTATGTAGTTTATAGTCAAAAATAAAAAATCACGTAGTTAATCCGGAAATATTAGTTTCATTTAAATGAGTAGTCACGAAAATCTTAGATCTCATTATAAATATTATCCCCAAAGATATGTCTTTTTTGAGCTACAAGTAAATAATATTTACATATCTTCCTACACAAAAGCGACCAAATATTAAAATTTTTATTTATTTGAGCAAGAGGGTTAGTTTTATTTTTAAAATAGGTATTGTTTTTATAAGCTATAGTTGAAATTAACAAGTATCATTTCTAATCAGAATATATCAGTTTAGTTGTTATTAGAAATTCAAGAGACTAAATAAAATGTAGGAAATTTTATGGTGTGTGACTAGTTAGGACTGAGTTAATTAAAAACAAAGTTATAGTCTTTCTGTAGTGTTCATCTAGAAGTAGAGCAATTAAAGGCAATTATTTGCTTATGACACTTTATTACGCCAAAATAAAATAATGAAATCATATTTTTCAACAATTTCTCGATATCTTACAGTTACTTATTATTATATCTTACATAACTAAATAAACATATATTTTCATAATAGCAAATCTTGAAGAGGCCTGGAACGCATAAACGTAGCCACCGCGTTGAATATTTTAAAACATATATCATCCAAAATGAGAGGTGGAAATATTTGCGTGATCAGCTTCCAGTTTTTATTCAGATAATTGTGAGTGTATACACCTATAAGAAATACAAAAATATCAAGTACGCAACTAAGATAATAATCATAATTAATTTCCTTAAACTATTCCAATTATTAAGATATTAAATTATAAGTACGTTATTATAGTTAAAGTTCACGTTAGTCAATACTCACTCTTAGCTTGGTCTCCATAGTATAAGTTTGTAAGGTGGAAATGGGCACCATCCTTTGTTTCAAAGTTGTATGTGAAATTCTTTAAATTCATGAAACTGTGGCCCTTAGAATCAACAAGTATATCGAAAGGCATTGTTAATGCAACATTTTTATTTCCTGTAACATTAATAATTGATTTTGAGTTAAATAATTGATAGTTAAATGAAACTAATAATTACAGCAACCGCGATCACGGGCAGACATCTCGTCTGCTGTAAAGTAGCCGAAACGTCGGGAGTATATATATATAGTATATATATAGTCAAAAATATTATTTTCGTTTAAATGAGTACTCGCGAAAATCTTAGATCTCATTAATTGATATATACTAATTCTATTTAATATTTGGAATCTAGTAAATAGTTGGGAATTCCATTTTACCAAATTTTATTGATGTGAAGAATGTTACTCAAAAAATCTAATTTGTTTTCTTTATTTTCAGTGCAAATTTTATAACAGTTAGTTGAAGCTACTTACTTTCAAATGAATACAAATCTCCTTCGCCACAAATTGGCATAGTGAAAAGTAAACCATCAATCTTGTATTTATTCGTAAATAAGAATTTTTCTGCGTGGAAAACCAGTCTCATAACCTTTGAACTCATATCTATACTGCAAAAATGAAAATACCACTTTCTCATTATTATGTATGTCTTGAGTTCTGATTTATCTATATATAATATACATACTTAATAATCATCACTTACTGAAAAGTTACAAATGTTTACAAAATCAACCAAATATTATATTATATATTTTTCTTATATACGTACCTTAGTTCATCTATAATTGCATTCGATAACCCTTCTAACCGATTGTTCCATCCCTCCAGTATTAAACCTTCTTTTTCTTTTTTAATATAATCGATACACATTGGGTCAAGTCTTTCAACGTGTATATTTGGTATACCCTTTACAAAAAGAGATGCATATTCTTGTGCTCTTGCAGTAAGGCATTTTGTATCACTTGCAAAACATCTCCTCTCTAGTGGTGAGCCTGGAATTTAAATATAATTTAGCTATATTGATAATTAATCATTAAAATAAAATAATATTAGATACTTACACGAGGAGTATAAAAACTGAATTATAGTCAGACACAGTATTAGTATAGATCGCATTTTCTTTAAATTAATAAGCTAAAAAAGTATCAAAATTTATAACCGTTCGATTAGTATAACTAGTCAACAATGCAGGTAAATTATCTGAACAGTGTAAGATAAATAATTGTTTATATAGCCTTCTTTTACTGTTAATTATATTAAACAGGTTTTGTATAAACTTTCAAGCTTTCATATTTTAGGTGATTTAATAAAATTTAAAAGAATTTACTTACTAGTATAATTATAATGGGATATTTAAACATATTATAACATGGGACTACAGATACTAGATTTGTTTTGATGTCCCTACTTTTGTATTATACTCCTTATTATATTCTATCACTCCTATAAGCTTCACTTCGACAAATAATTTTAGGAATTCCATTGCCTTACTTATAAATATCATCTCACTATTTTTAGTCTAAGAATGAATATTCTATTGAGTACTAGGGAATCTTCATTAAAATATTTGAATTTTGATTTGATATTTGTGTAATTCTACTTTTTTCATTACTTAAAAGCATTTTTATGATAAGACTAGAAATACAGAATTGTAAGGGCAGAACTGACAGATATTATGCTAAAACAACACTTGTTCTGTTTTATTAAAACATTTAAAATTGTAAAATAGCTAAAATTTACTACGAAACTATTAATACAGTTTAGATTTCTTAAGTTGGTAAGATTAAAATCTGGTTAACCTTTTTTTTTTTATGACGTAGGGAAACTCTTTTCACGAGCCGTCCAACTGGCTTTGGTAGGGCCGGAAGGGATGTGTGAGACTCGGCCTTGGCAGGCCCCTACTTACTACAACCACTGCGAAAGCCATCGGTCCCTATGTCGGTGTACCCCGGATCTGTTAGTGACAGGGCACACCAGCGACTGGCCGATCCTGGCAAAGGCCGAACTTACTCCCTCCGAGTATTGAGGCGATCCCGGCAATTAGGATCGCCCCGAGGACGCCGGGCTTTCACTGGAGCCACGTTACCAAGCCAACCCCAGCCCGGAGTACAGGGGTGTATTGGAGGCGTTGGTATTGCCTCCGTCGCTTGCGGAGGGAGGGTGCAACAGCCACATCCTCCTTTTCCCGCTCAGATGCCTCCTTCGTGGACATGACCATCTCACAGAAGCAGGAAACCACCATCCAGGACCTGTCACTCTCAAGCATCTTCTCCGCGATACTCGAAAGCGACAAGTCCACTCCACCGAGAGCCACCACGAGGTCTTGGCGCTGCGGAGCCCATCTCGTGCACACCTCGACGGTATGCTGGGCCGAGTCCACCGCAGCGCCGCACTCATGGCCATCATCGCAATCATGGCCATGACTCATCAGCCTTCTCCCGGCTCTCTCCTGGCCGTCCAACATAGGTAGAAACCGAAGCACCCGTGCCCGGTGAAGACCTGCGTCAGACAGAAAGTCAAGGGCTTCCGTTTCCGCCTCATCCGACGCTCTAGGACCGGGCGAAGCGCTGTAAGTTGTACGCTATAATCTGGTTAACCAATTACAACAAGAGCTTTGCATAACACTCTTCAAAACATACACTTCACAATTTTCGTAATAAAGTGCTATAAATTCTAATTTATTTTCTTTTACTTATGTTTTACATTTATTTAAAACTTACTTAGTAAACCCAAAAACAAAGTGCCTACATTCTTTGAAAGACATACTTTATTTTATGGTTACTTTAAAGTGAATACAAACTAAGTAAACAATTAAAGTTTTAAATTATGTTAACATATCTGTCTCTAATAAGGTGTGAATCCTTTTAATTTAATTTATCTATTCGAATGAAAAGCAATTTAAATCGATCTTGTTTTACAAAAAAAATGTCATATCAAAGCCACATGTCGAGACGTAAAATAGACAATACACTACTAATATATTCTAATAATATAACTTGCATTAAAAGATGAATATAAGTATTATAAGTGTTCTTGCTTCTAATCTAAATTTTATCCTGGAGATTGAAATATAAACTTTTGTATGACGACTCTTTGTTTTTAATATTCGTTTCTAGGCATGGAAACGGACACTTTTGTCGTAGTAAAGTAAAAAACTTATAATTTTACAGGATTTTTAAAGAAAAAGACTGTAGGTTAATCCAAATATAAAATACTAGTTCTAAAATATGAATCAAGTTTTAACACGTGTATATTTATGATTTTGGAGTGAACAGAAATGTTTTTAATCATATATTTATAATATGTAAACTACCTACTCAAAAACATATTTAATTTAGACTTGCGTCTTGGTAAATTGTTGTGTTATCAAGTGGATACAAGAATTTTCGGTCTTATCTTTTTATCGTCTTATATGTTGTGATTTTCCTTTTACACAAATTAATTTCGAGTTATTTGTTTTTTTATTAAAAGATTCTGACCTTATTCTTCAATTGAAAGCTACATATTAAGTTATTCCAGATTACATGACTCTATAAATAACATTTTAAATGTATGAGGATAGTTTTCTTAATTTTTAAATACTCTTAATTTCTATGTGACTTTTTATATGAAAAAAAATTTGTAATGTAGGAAGTTTCATCAAAGTAGGGTGATAAAAGCGTTTCTTATATTTCTTATTATAAATTCTGCTTTAAGAGATTCAAGAAAGATTAATATATAAAATTATATCTGCACTAATATGCACATGGTAGCCTATATAGTTAACTTAAGAATCCAAGCTATAATAACGAGTTAGTTTTACGGGCTCATCAGGCCTTTCGTAACAGGTAAGTCCCAGGCCCACTCTTTGGCCCACTCTTCCAGAGACGTAAGGCAAAAATTATATAATTTTCGTTACTTTCTTTTTCTGAAAAAGAACTTTTAATTAACAAAGTAAATACTTTGTGAATCTAGAAATCTAGAACTTAATTGATATAGAGACGATTTAGATATTTTAGAATAATGATCCGCTTTGAAATTATAATAGTTGGGTAGAGCCTCTAATACACTTTATATTCTTTTTTAAATATTGTATAAAGTAACGGTTGTTGTATAATAAAAAAAAAAGTGTAACATTCTTATTATTTCGCGTTATTTTATTAATTTAAAAAATTTCATACTCCCGACGGTTGGGTTACTTTGCAGCAGTCGTGATCAAATGAATACTCTCGAAAACCTTAGATTTCATTATTAGAGAAGAAGTTTATTTTTCTAAAATTAAGAATTTCAGCAGTGAGATGTTGTAGTGTTTGTTATATGTGACTACTCTCAAGATTATGTGAAACGAATGAAACATTAATATCATACGAATAAGAACAAATATCAAAATGTAAGCAACAAACAAGAACCTGTTTTTTAACATTTAATTCTTTACATTTTATTTATTTTACGTATAAATAAATATCAATATAAACATACTATAGCAAAGTAAACATGATTTTATTTACTATTTAATATTTAAAAGCAACTTAATAATCTTTTTTCCCATAATGTCAAGAGATACTTTTAGCATTCAATTGGCTGTTGTTTTGTATTGTGAATTAATTTATTTTTTCTTACTAACTTGCGTTTTACATTTTTTATCTTTATCTTTTCTTTTTAATGTAATTTCAGAAATATAACATATCTTTCCTAACGATTGCCCAACTCCAATAAGTAAAGGTACATTTTTAATAAAATTGTTCAATAAATAATAAACTTACTTTATAAACTTTACCATAAAATGTTTACTTTTAGTTTTCATTCTACAGACATTTATAAAACTATATTGACCATTGCACTTAAACATCTTGCAAGATAGATACAGGACATATTGCAAGTTAAACCTTAATTAGTAAGAATAAAAATTTAAATATGTTTAAATGGCTGTTCAAGCATCTTTCATAAAAATATACAGCAAAATAAAGGTTAATAGAACATAAATTTCCACTAATTTTTTCTCAAGTCTGAAATTACCTAAGGTGCGGACGATTCTATATAAAATATATCGGATGTACCGGAAATTACACGACTTGGTTTTGATTTTACCTTACTTTCAACCAATTCTGTGTATATTATCTTCTAAATTTTCTAAGTCTAAGATTTTTTATGATTCGAACAATATCATGTGATTAAAAAATTTCCAGTTCGAACATAAAATTTTTGAGACCGCATTTGACCATGATTTTGAAACGTTTTCTTTTGTTACAGAATTTAATATTTTTATAACTATTTTAACCCGATTTTTAATATTTTTTACATGAGTAATAAAAAAAATATTAAGTTATTATTAAAAAACTGAGATGAATGATTCACTGGTAAGGACTATTTATTTCTTGCAAAATAAAGACAAAATAATCCGTGAAATATGTACCAGGAAATACATATAAGTTTACGCGTCAATGCAAAAAAGGCCCATAAAACACCGCTGCAGTTATTACTACATTTTATTATTGTTCTTAGGTAATTAAGTAAGGTTTTTTACTGACTTTCAAAACTGAGGTTCTGTATAAATTGCAAATGTAATACTTACGTAATGCTTTAATGGAATTCAATTAGGAAAAAAGGTTTTAAGTAATAAATACATTTAGTTTTAATCGGCATATTTATTAATAAAAATTTTAAACTGATAATTTTTGGCCGTTAGTAACTTATTCTTGCCCTTATTAATTATATGTTCGTCACATTCATCGCTATTAACTGAATTTTTGCGGCGGTCCTATAGCGAAGTTACAGGTAATATAATTATGGTATATTAGTATTGTTAGTATAATCATGAATACATATTTATGTTAGTAATTATTACAATCAACAAAATCGCTTGTAGTCGCTTATATTCTTTTTTAAGGTTTTCATTGGAAAGATGACCAGCGGTAACTGTGCAAGTATAGGCGAATAGCATTAAAAATATTATCATTGACTTTATCAAAGAAATATCTGCCAAACATATTATTTAAGTAACTCCAATTTTCGTGAAGTAATTTGTGCATAGATTGACCTGTAAAAATAGGTAAAAAGTTATATTTTTTCAAGCATTTTACTAAACACAAAAAAAATATTTAACTTACTTAACAATTCGTTTCCATGGTAGAGGTTACTCAGACGATATAGTGGGATTGCTCTCACGTCAAACCAGTATTTGTATCCTTTCAAATCAATAATATTTTGACCGTTAATATCTTTAATGATATCAAAAGTTATTACCATTTCGGTTAGGACGTTACCTGATTTATTAAAACAGAATTTTTAATTTTAGTTCAATTAGACACGACAAATAAAATATAATTATTATTTTTTAAAACTAACGTAGATCAATGTTGATATCTCCATCGCCATACATTGGTAGATTGAACAAGAAACCACTTGCTGAATATTTGCCCTTGACTAAATAGTCCGAGTGGAAAACTAACCGCAAAGTCTTAGAAATCGGGTCAACGCTTAAAAAAACGAATGTATCAAGAATAGAAACGTTTCAACACATATTCAACATAATTTTAGTTTTATAAATAAATCGTACTTACACATAAGAAAAGATATCATTATATTTTACTTATTTAATATAAATATCTTTTTTATAAGGAACAATCAAAACTAATTTGGTTGTAAACAAGTGTTATTACCTCAATAAAAAAGTAGCACAAACATAAACGATTATATACTTGTGCTAATTTTAACATACATCTTTATCTAATTTATTACGACAAATGTCACTGTCAAATTCTTATTAAAGAAACAAGCTAGCCCAAAACATAATACCAATAAGTATATTGGAAAACTAGGTAATTTCGAAAAGTGTTATAATCTTCAAATTTATCGAAGATAACGTTTTAAACTGTCATCTTACCTAACATTGTCAATAACTGGATCCTTAAGACCTTGAACAATTATGTTATTCATATCAAAATGTAATCCTGCCTTATCGACATGGACATTATCGATAAACATGGAACGTGTCTTTTCTTTCAATACCCTTAGTATACCGGCGGCCAAAACCGGGGAGTTGGCTTGAGAAATTGTTGTCAAGCAAGTAGAATCCCCAATCCAGCATTTTAGTTGAAAATTAGGTTCTGAAAAGATATATTTTTTAAATATAAATGTCCACTATATCTTCAGCAAATGTATTTTTCTTCTTATTTCTGGAAGTGTTTGCTACTCCTAAAACAAGTACAAAAACACCTTTTTGTAGGTGATCGAATATTTAAAGTTACAGAAAGCGCCAAAGAAACATGATAAAGACAAAAATTATATTTTCTTAAAAATCTCCCTTTTTAATTGCAATTACGTCGAATCAAAAATTTGGAGAATACTGCGAAAACAAAATATGTTACAATTTTAGATATTAACGTGATTAGATAAGCAAAAAAAATTTTACAGAAAGATAAATAGAATTTATAAGACTGTTCATAAACCTTTACAGTGGATGTAAGCTGTGAAGCTCCTATTTCTTAGATCTCTCAATACTTTGTTAAATCTTTTTTTCTCATAAGCATTAGGTTTCTACTCCTTATTTATGTTTAGTTTTGTTTGTATTTGATACTTATGGGTTTGTTTTATTTGAAGATCATTAACCAATTAATTTTAGAAACGAATTCAAATAATAATTGGAAGATACAAACCATATGAGGTCAACACACTCCACGGTGTATTAACCCTGGGCCGTGTAGGCTATCATATAATCTTTGGATCAATTAATGTTTCGCTTATTTTTAAAGAAATAAAAAAATAACTTTGACTCTCTAGACATAATCAATAATTTTTCACTCTTTCATTATTATAAAAACAAAAGAATTGATAAAGAAATATAGTTATAATTTAATAATATAAAAGTAAAAATATAAATATCAGATTAGAGTAACTTTAACTTACCCAATCCAAAATTATATGAGACCAGTGTCAACAAAACAATTGCAAACAAAGAGGTATTCATGATGCTAGTGCACTAAAATATTAGAGACGAATACTTAGGGAGCTTTATATAAACAGTATTATAAACTTCGATGGCACTAATAGCAAACATCAATTAATCATTTTAAAGTATTTTTAAAATTATTACCTATAAACTTGATTATGCTAATCCACTGAACTTGTTATTTTATTACTAAGGACCTCGATTTATCCCGCGACTTTGTTCGTTCTATATAGTAATAATAATATATATTTTTAAAGATTTAAATATAACATTTTCTTTCCAGTTTAAGAATAAGCTATTTTCCCGACCTTGAATGCAGTAAGAGCAGATTGAGTATAAAAAAGTAATATTAACCAATGATGGGTTCATAGGATTGTTTTTTCGAACCTAGACTCTGAATTAATGAAGAACCACTAGTGTTAATTCTCGAAGAAGCTCATAAGCAGGCGACGGACTTTAAAATCATATATCTATAATCAAATTACACAAGGATGCTTTCAAGCTCCTACGAAAGTTGACTAAAAAGTCTGTGCCACGTTGAAAGCGGTCTCGTGATAATGTGAGTTGAGGGAAAAACGATAACCACATGGTAAGAAAGCTCAAATGTGGGAAAAAGACATGTCTACTAGTAAGCAAACAATGTGGTTCGAAAATTAAAAAAATAATAATACGTAAAATAAGTTCTGGGTGCATTTGTAATGATGTCCCGGCTTTCAAACCATAAAAATTAAAGCTTCAAAGTTTCAAACGAATGAACCCACCACAGCTATTTATTTATTGATGCCATTTGATTATTTTGTTTCATAATAAGCTAAGGTAGCCCAAACGAGGAGTTTAAGATTTACTTAATCCCCACAGATTAATAAAGTGAAGATACTTTGTAACCGGTTTAGTACCTCCACGAAATATGAGATCCATATATACAGTCACCCATCAAGGATAAAGGACTAGATTAGAAAAAACCTACTTTACTAGAAATTCTTTGGAGTTATTTAAGGTTGGAATGAATTAATTACATGCTTATATTTAAGTGTATGTTAAACATATCTCACAGTTTTTAAAAGAGACGACTACAACTAAGAGCCGAAGTATAATTTGATGATAAAGTTAAATGAATGCCACTGTATGTTGCCTATATTATTTTCCGTGGTTCAGTTTATCACGTAATCTTTCTCTTTCTATGGCTTTATTACTAATAATTCTTCTCTGGTTTCGGTTGCCAACAATGTCCAATGTATTTAAAGAAGTTTACTAGTCAAATTACTACAATGACTGATATTCATATAAGTATTTTATTATGAAATTATATAATTTTAATGAAAATATTATTCATTAAAATTATATAATTTCATATGTGTGTAAGTGTAATTTCTGTGCATATTATAAAAAAAAATCTTTTACCCAACGGCTACGAATAGAAAGTTGTCGACGGAAAGTTCGGAGAGGATTGGTTTTGCAGTTGATTTATTGACGAAAGCATACTCTATTTTGGAACAATATATTTTTTGTTACGTTTTCTTATTTTTATTTTATTCGAAAATGTTCCTTAAAAACCGATTTTTTTATATACACTCTATAGATGCTCAATTTTTTAAACTCACGACATTTATCTGTTATTAATATTACATTCGTTGATGGTTTCAATGTCAAGGTAAAGGTAGACTATTTCAATCAAACCTAATCCCTAGCTACCTGTTTTTATTCTATGGTACTAGTTATGAGGTCAAATGTATTTAATCATATTTAAAAAAGTATTATATAGAGTATTCTATAAATACTCTATATAATATTATTATGCTTTTACTAAATCTCTCCACCCATTTCTCCCATGTGCTTTCAACTCAGTCACTATCAGCAACGAGATCGATGTCTGAGGCAAAAAGCATGCACCAAGGTAAAGATTTCTAAATACGGCATTCAATACTGGCAGGAAGAAAAAATATCTTAAAGCCGAGAATGGTACAGGCAACCATCACATGGAAACTGAATATAATGAGCTGCAGACCGAATTTGGCTATTTGTACTCGTTATTATCTTCATCTGGGGGTACATAGTCTTAACAAATTGTAATACAAATAATAATCTGGTATACCTTTCCCTCCATATAATTTTTAATTACCTCATTCATCCCTTCTTTATTTATCGTCATTGGAAATCATTAATCCTAATTCTATTTTTATGTATTTCATTTATGATGTCTCTGTTGAGATTCGTCCACCACTGAAACAATAGCTTTTAGACGTCAGAAATATACCTTCAAAAACCCTGCGCATTAGTCACTGCTATTTCAACTGCTCTTTTGATAAACATATTTATCATTTAAATTCTTTATTTAAGTCTTCTTACCTATCTTAATCCTCTAGAAGAAGAGAACGTAATAAGAAGAATATAAATGTAACTTTACAATATGTTAGTCAGTAATATAATTTATTTAATATCTAAACATATAAAGCGATGTTTCTTTAATAGAAATTGTAACTAATCAAAGTTTAAAGATTAGCTTTGCTACTAAAACATATCATTTTCATACATGGACATATTATACGAGTATAGAGACTTGTAGTTTAATGATTTCAATATTTAAATATTTTGCGTTTTACTTAAATTAAATATAAAATATTTAATGACCACTAAGCATAGTAAAATCAATGATTAATTATTTTGTAAGGTTACAAAGAATTAGGACTTTGAAATAACTTTCTTAACTACAAATAGAAAAATCGTATTGATATCATACTTGTATTAAAATATGCGATTGTTCTTTGCTGAAAAATATAAATCCACTTTAACGAATTTTGCTATAAGACACGATTTTCTTTGTTTTACATAGGATGGTGAGAACTTGCAAATTTGAATAATTATATAATTAACTAGTTTTTGCCCGCGACTTCGTCCGCGTTAGTTTGGTCAAGAGTAATATAACTATGTAGGTATAGCTGACCAGGCGAACTCTATTCCGTCTTAGAGGCCATAAGTAATCAGGTTTTTCTTGTTTCAATGAAACAGAATGATTGACATATTAGTTAGTTGTCAAATCTAATGTCAAAAAAAAACGTTTGTATGGGAAATAGAAAAGGGCTGTTTTTAGGGTTATCCCGGCAATTATTCCAATTTTTCTCACCTTATAAACCTTCCCTGGACTTCCAGGAGTATTTCAAGACTAAAATTAGTCAAATCCATTCAGCCGTTCTCGAGTTTTAGCGAGACTAAGGAACAGCAATCCATTTTTATATATATAGAAGATTATAGGTGCCTTTACGTTTTTTCTTGACAGACTGTCATGTACGTAGTGTACCTATGTACAAGAAAAAATGGGGATATCACTTCAACTTTAATAATAAATACACGGAATCAATTTTAGCCTTCGCTAATGATATCGCAATACTTACACGTAACCCCTAACACTGTCAGGTACTATTGGATGAAGTGGATAAATTCTGTGTGTGGACGGATGGATTAAGGACAAAACCAAATAAATGTCACTGTCTGTGTCTCGGTAGGCCGAATACTAGATACACCTCATACGATCCGGGATTATCGTTGGGCGGTCAATGCGTTTCTACGGTTAAGGAAAATCCACCATTTAAATTTATCGGTCGTAAGATTGATATTATAGGTTGTACTCCATCTTTAGAAGGAATCGTAAATAGCTTTTTAAATGATCTCAACATGGTAGACAGCCAAGAAATCAGTAACGTCAAAAAAGCTTGGATCTACGATAATTACCTCACTTTAAATTGGCCTTTCCTCGTCTATTATTTTAATAAAACCCTTTTGTAAAAGCTAGATGCAGGCGTCATAAAGATGTTGAAGTTGCGGCTCCCGCTCGTGCAAACAGATGATTCATAGGCTTTATTTAGGGATCGAAATAGTTTCGGGATGAGTCTAAAAAGGCCATATAAACACCTAAGAGTCTCCAAGAGACATATACTAGGGAAATTCAATGATGATGTCATTACATCGCTCCCAAAGTACAAAGATGCCCCAGAGCTAGCTAGAGTCAAGACTTCAATTTCATAAGCATTTTATGATAAGAGCACAAAGTTACAGAGTAGGATTAGGATCAAGTAAGAAAGTCCAAAATGCGGATATATTGAAGTCTTTTCTTCGGCAAGACGAGAATAAGAAATATAAGATAC